TCCCTTTCTAAATTCAAAGAGCAGATCTTTACTTCCAACCATGCAATGCCAATGTCTAGTCATTTGTCCCTGTAGTAAAATATCCCCCTCATAGTTTAGATCTAGTAAGTCATTCAGGCCATTTGGAAAGTGTAGCCATTGTTTGTCTTAGAATAGAAAATTATCACAATTTGAAATCTGTGACTCACTACTGTGAGGACTAACATGTACCAAGAAAAGTGCTATTCACTGAAAAGACCTAGATAACTGCCTATTAGCCTCAATAATCTTCACTGTACAACATTAGGCCTTGAAGCAATTTCCTTTTTCTGAAGCTGGATCAAATTGACTTAATATAAATTACATTATCATGATGATGTGATCTTAGTAGCCCAGAATCTGGGGAATAATACTACTTCTACCAAATACAGGATTACTGATTTTAGGATCTATAAAATCTTGTTTGGAATGATTGTTTTATGTACTTTGTACTTCACAATTCCTTATGAGTTCTTGACTTACTGTAACTTACTAACAGTGCTTTTTTGGCACTGTTACCTGAAAGGACATTTTTCTGATATGTAAAATAAAAATTATTATAAATGAAGAAACAAGCATCTTCCAGCTTTTAAGTCAGTGCTTTCTATTGATAGAATTATAGTCTTCCAATGACTCTTTGTGCCAAGATGTGTGCAAATGAGATCCAGATTCATTATGTACTTTCCTGTGGCATTGTATGGCTTTAAAATTGCTGACCTTATTATGTGTATGTATGTATGAATGTACATATATGTGCATGTATTCACATATACTCGTGTGTGTGTGTGTGTGTATACATATACATATATATGTGGATTTATTTCTAAGAGAATAAATGAAGATTAGAACATTGGATAGGGAATTGGGAGGCAAACCTATTTTTATTTTGTTTTGGGTTTTTTTTAGTCTTATTCATTCAGCAAAAACTTTTGATCTCTAAAGTGTTCTGGCATCATGACAGGCAGTGGGTTTACGGAAATGAAAGATACTGACTTGAGTACATTCTGTTTAATTGGACCCTCTTCCTGATTTCCTGTGTAAACTAGGACAAATTACTTACCTTTTATAAGTTTCAATTTCCTTATATGTATAATAGAATAGGACTTTAGTTTATAAAATTTCCTTCACAGCACTAAAATTCTTTGGTTTGAGATAAATGAATATATCTACCTTCCCTGCCATTCTAATCTTGAAGCTATTTTATTTAATTCTGCTTATTATAGTTTAAATTTCAAAAGTATTTTTAGTAGATGTTATAAGAGAATACGCTGATGAAGTAAGTAAAAAGCCAAGTTTTGTAGAGATTGTTATACCATCATATTAATGATAATTTTATTTATCAGTCAGAATTGTAAATATCTAGGGGCCTGGGGATTTAGCTCAGTGGTCCCACTGCCTGCCTTGAAAGCGCAAGGTCCTGAGTTCAATCCCCGGTACTGCCCCCCCAAAAAAAGAATTGTAAATATCTATTAAAACAGTTACATCTCTCAATGGTGTGACGCAATTCACATTGTTTCAAGGAACAGTTGCTTTACTTTCAAAACAACATCTCAAATAATTTTTCTAAGAATCATTATCCTTCTTTTCTTTTTTCTCTCTTCCACCATCTAGCCTGCCAGCAATTCTTGTTCACTGTACTTTCAAAGAATATCCAAATCCATCCATTTATCTCCCCTCCATTGCTGCCACTAATACAGCTTCGGTTGTCTTTAACCTGCCCACCTCAGAAGCCTCCTCACTGGTCTCTGTTTCTGCTGCTGGTCCCACAAGATCATCACCAAAGAGCAGCTAGCGTGATCTTTAGAAAACTCATGAGTATGATTTCTGTTTAAAAACACTGTAGCCCATTCTTACGTCAATTCGAAAAAAATCTACTTTATTAGCCCTGCTGTATGGACGTTGGATATGATCTGGCCCTGTCTATCTTTCTGCTTCGTGTCACTGTTCAGCCATTGTACTATAGCCCTGAACACCAGCTGGCTTATGTCACTTGTGTCACTAGCACTTGTAATGTAGCTAGTCCCAAATTGAGATGTGCTGAGTGTGAAATATACTGTACCTTGAATTTCAAAGACTTACTAAGAAAAACAACCGTCTAAAGTATCTATATAGTTTTTATATTAATTGCATGTTTATAATAATATTTTGGTTATATTTGTTAAAATATCAAAATTAAGTTCACTTATTTTTTTAGTCATTCAGTGAAGCTGAATCATTCATTTAGTGAAGCTATTAGAAAGTTCAAAATGACACACATGGCTCACATGGTATTTATGTTGGAAAATACCCTTCTGCTGCACAGTCTCTTTCATCTTCCATTCTCGCTCTTCCCTCTGCTAGGTGGATCCTCTTTTTGTAGGGCTGGTGCCATTTCATTCAGATCTCCTTTTCAGTGCCAACTCCTCTGATCAATATGGAGTAACTTAAGCACCCACTGTCTAGTATGCAATGCTATTTAACTGCAGAGGGCTCCTCACTATCTGATATTTTATGTATTTGCTTTTGATTTAAATTTGAAGAGCGTAATACCTTTCTTTGACTTTGTACAGCTTCATCTCAAGAACAGTGCCTACCATATAGCACTCAGCACGTATAGTTTCAGAGAGTGAACAAATGAAACAAATACCTGCTATACTAGTAAAAGATACTTAGCAGACATAAGAAAGACCAGTGGATCCTTTTCACTCTATAGAAAAGCAGTGAGATAAAGGCTCTAGAGGATGATGTCAGAACTCTAGGTTCTTTTGTGAGCTGTTCTATAGACTTGTCAAAACCTTTGTGATTATTTTTATTTTCTGTTTGTAATGTTTCTTAATGCCTTTTAGAATTAAATTTTTGAGGGGTACTAGGGATCGAACTCGGGACTTTGTGCTTGCGAGGCAGGTGGCAGAACCACTGCTGCTAAATCTACAGCCCAGAATATAAGAATTTTTGACCTGCTAAATAGTATAGTAGGGGAAAATGGACTTTACTAGCTATTCAGAAATAGGAATGGACTTGTAAAGGGAACAACAGAATATCCAGGTTTGCTTAGCATAGTTATATAGTTGTCCTGATACAATTATTAATTGAGCCCTTCAACTCTTAAAAGTGGTCTGATGTGATTGATAAGTTAATAACTTATATAGTCACTATAAAGGCAGTAGAAGTCAGTATTTTGTATTCATTAGCCTCACACTAAACTCCCATCCCTCTTTTTATTTTTATTTATTTGGGGGGGGCACCGGGGATTGAACTCGGGTCCTTGTGCTTGCAAGGCAGGCCGCCGAACCACTGAGCTAAATCCCCAGCCCCCAGCCCTCTTTTTAGATGTGGGGTAATATTTTTCCTTTGGATCAGATCCAGGGCTTACACATGCCAGGCAAAGTACTATACCACAGAGCTACACCCCCAGGCCCAATCCAGGGTAAACTTTGTCTCTTCCAAGAGCCTATCCTATATTCCTGTTGAAATCAAGTTTTTTTCCTCTATAATTTCAGGGTGTTACCACCTCCTCAGAAGACCAATACTGTTTGGAGCTAGAACCGTGCATTTATCAGCATTCTATTCCCCCAGCATCTCACATGGTGCCCTACGTATAGCACTTAAGAGAGGTTAGAAAAGTTGACAATAGCATGATTGTTTTTCTAAAATCTTTCTATTTCTAATCAGTTGTTTACAGGAAAGGATTTAAGATAGTTGTGATTCTACTCCTTAGGCGGTGAGAATATTGATTTTAGAGCTCTTCTATGTATGTGTTTACTTATTTATTATCGTACTGAGGATTGATCCCAGGGCCTTTGCACTGGGCTAAATTTTCAGCCCCTTTTTATTCTTTTTGAGACAGGCTTTTGCTAAGTTGGTGAATTGACCAGACTGGACTTGAGCTCAGCATCCTCCTGCCTCAGCTTTTCATAGTGCTGGGTTACAGGCATGTGCCACCGTGCCTGACTTTTCCTCTTCTTTTGAAACTTTTGAAATAATTTAAAATTTTAGAGGTAGTATAAGAGATGTACAGTTTATTCCTATATACCCTTTACCCAGAATTACTAGCTTCTGGTATTTTGTTATGTTGTTTTTTTGTTTTTTGTTTTTACTACTTTCACTTTGACATAGGAATGTTATTATCATCATTATCACAGTGGTACTGGGGATTGAATCCAGGGCCTTTGTATTGTGCTACATCCTCCCCTAGTTTTAATATTTGTTTAGAGACAGGGTCTTAGTCACTTTCTCAGGCTGGGCTCAAACTTGTGCTCCTCCTGCCTCTGCCTCCCACAGTGCTGGGATTACAGACATGCACCATCATGCCCTGCTTTTTAAATTCCTGGACCATTTAAGAATTATATATTATACCACTGTACTGTAAATATTTCTGCATGTATTTCCCAAGGGCAGGGACATCTCTCACCAACTATAGTACAGTTAAGAAATTTAAGAAATTTAGTGTTAATAAGATAGTAGTATCTAATACATTGTCCATATTCAAAAATCAGCCAGGGGTGGGATTTAGCTCAGTGGTGCCACTGCCTGCTTCACAAATAGAAGGACCCAAGTTTGATCCCTGGTACCAAAAAAAAAAAAAATCAGCCAGTTTTTCCTCTAAAGTGAAGAGGCATGTTGCAAGAAAGGTAATTGGAATACTGTATAACTTTTCTTCTTTTAGGATTGATATAAGTGTAATCCATATGCATTTTCAATTCCCTAATTAAAAATAGGATGAAGCAAACATGTAGTCATTGTAAGCATTTCCTTATAAAAACTTGCCCTTCTCTTTAACCTCTGATTAACTACTGTTGTGTGCATGAGTTAGGGAGCATAATGAAAGTAGAAGTGAATCTGCTCTTGCCAAGGAACGGGACTCTTTCAGCAAGTCATACTCATTAAAAATTTGTGCAACAGCCCTGGTTTTCTAAATGTCTGGCCAAAGATGTCCTAGACATTTAAACATAAAATTTCTTGTTACTTCATTTAACTCAGCTTGTCTTTTTGTTTTTTTATAGTCTGTGCCTGAAGAGTTACTCAGACAACAAAAGCCGAGTTCAAACGAGACCACTTCAAATGCACAGTCTGTATCTGATTCCCACTTGGCCTCACTTCAGGAAAAAATCCAGCAAACAGAGGCTGCCAACAAGGTACGATCAGTGCTGTGCTTTTGAAGGTCACAGAGCTTTCCCGAGGAAGTGACAAGCTCTCCTGAGTGTTACAGCGAGTAGGACATGGGAGATGACAACTGTGGATGCCTGGTGCCCTAGAGAATATTTCCCTTTAAAGTGTAGTCCTTCAGGGCCAGGGATTTAGCTCCTTGGTGCCGCAAGCTCAAGGTCGTGAGTTCGATCCCAGTACCAGTACCAAAAAAAAAAAAAAGAATGTAGTCTTTCCCTTTTTTTTTTCATATAGATTTTAGCTATATAAGCACAGGTCAGAATTTCTGGTATCTTTTGGATGTGTGGTTAAAGCTTGTATGCAATCTTTACTGTAGAAGGCACCATGACGGGAAGTTTTTGCTTTTGACTTTAGCTTAATTTCTCATTTGTGGATTATAATATTTGATTAGAAAAAATTACCATAATATAGGATGCCGAGCTTCTGGATTTCTTGAATAGCTGAAGCTTCTCGATCTTGTGTAAAGGATCCACAGTACTTGCATGAACAACTCCATCATAGAGAAAGCACAATGGATGAGAATTGAGTCCACTGAGTATTGAAGAAAGTAGCTCATATTTCCTATTACTTTCTCTTTTTGGTTGGTTTAAAACTTAAATGGGCCTAAAAAGTACCAATGAACTCAATGAGAAAAAAAAACTTAAATGGTTACTATATGTAGGACAAAATAACAAGGTAATGTTTCCTAAGAAGTTCATCGAATCATAGACTGGAGGAAAGATTTTATGGTTGCATTTAAGGTGAAAAGATATCATTGACCGAACAAACTTTTCTGCTGTTGTTCTGAATGCAGATTCTTCAAGAGAAACTGAACGAAATGAGTTATGAACTGAAGTCTGCTCAGGAGTCATCTCAGAAGCAAGATGGTACAATTCAAAACCTCAAGGAAACTCTGCAAAGCAGGGAAAGTGAGGTAAAATATTTAGGAGCTTCAGACCTGTGAGGAAATGATTTGTTCCATGAATGTAGATGAGTATTCTAGTATCATAGAAATGGATTATTGGCATAATAACAAATATCAGCCTGGGAAATTTGCAAATGCAAGATAATGGATTTATTTTCAGTTTACTAACATGTTTGGTGTTTCTCTTCTTCTCAGACTGAGGAGTTGTACCAGGTGATTGAAAGCCAAAATGACACAATGGCAAAGCTTCGAGAAATGCTGCACCAGAGCCAGCTCAGACAACTTCATGTATGTGAGGGTTCCGGAGAGAGGAGAGACTGCAGTTGGGCCTGTGTCTTTCTCAGTTACAGTCTTGCTTTTGTGTTCACTTTCCCCTCAGGTACTCAGTGCTTGCTGTTCTTGTGATAATGATTTCTGCTCTCTCCTCAGAGTTCTGAGGGTGCTGCTCAAGCTCAGCAGCAGGTGGCTCTGCTTGATCTTCAGAGTGCTTTATTCTGCAGCCAGCTGGAAATACAGACACTGCAGAGGGCAGTTAGACAGAAGGAACGCCAGCTGGCCGATGCCAAGCGATGTGTGCGGTTTGTGGAGGCTGCAGCACATGAGCGAGAAAAGCAGAAGGAGGCTTCTTGGAAACATAATCAGGTAAATCATTAACCATTTTGCAGCCCTCAGCACTGACTTTGCCCTGACAATTACTTTTTACCAGGACAGTTGGTTCTGAACCGGAACCCTTGACTTACAGCATTTGTTTAATCCGAGTATCATTTAGTCTAACATTTGCTACCTTGGTTCATGTGCCAGATACTGGGGTATGTCCTGGAAATTCAGTGGAAAAATACCACAGGCTCTTTCTTCTTAAGGTTCTTATATTTAGTATGCAAAACAATCACATGAACAGAATTGCAGTGTGGTTAATACTGAGGAGTTGTGTATAGGATCCTAAAGGCATTTTTGCCAGGGGTCAAGGAAGAAAATCAAGGAAAGCTTCATGAAAGAGAGAATATCATAGGTTATTCTGGAAGGATGGGTAAACGTCAGTGGCTTAGAAAAGTGCACAAGAACATCCGGGGTCAAAAGAATGGCATGCACTAAAATATCCATAATTTTAAAGTGGTTCCTTTATCTTGTTAGTTTATAGCACATGTTTTTTTCCTTTGGCTGTAAAACATTCATATTTAAAACTAATTTTTGAAGGATCTCCTTTGTTTAATACTTTGAAGGATAAATATGATTCCTGAATTTTCATTAAAAACACTAAAATTTTTATAACTAGACAAGGTTGGGGAGTGATAGAAGGATGAGAAGGGAAATAATTCTCAACTATTGTTTGTATATTTAAAGGAAAGATGTGCAAATATTTAATTGGCAAATATTATGGAGTGTATCTAAAGTAACAGATGGTTTAAAGATTGCTGATTTTATTACTAGAAAAATATTACATATGGCAAATTAAAATGAATTGATAAAGCCTTTATGGGTTCTTAAGAAAAGATGGTAGAAATATTCTATCCTTGAGCTTATTTTAAAGGATCTAGGCTTACTGTGGGACAGAGTCCTGCTTAGTAGAGCTATTTTTTAAATTAAAAAAAAGTACTAAACTATCAATCAAACCCATTTTCTACCTCCATCCACAGATTTTACAATTTCCTATATTCAACTCCACTTAATGTATTATGGAATATTTCTGTAGCACTTTAATGATGGTGCTTTCTAGTTGTTTATAGTTCATTATGTCCTGAAAGTTTCAAGGTCTCTCTATATAGTGGCCATATGAAAATTTTAGATTGCCTTTAAAAGTGAATATATTCAATTCAGGAATTGCGAAAAGCTTTGCAACAATTACAAGGAGAATTGCAGAATAAGAGCCAACAGCTTCAAACCATGGAGGCTGAAAAATACAATGAGATTCGAACACAGGAGCAAAACATTCAACACCTAAACCATAGTCTGAGTCACAAAGAGCAACTGCTTCAGGTGAGTTTATATGATGTCAATAAAAGCTCTGAAATTTCCGCTCATATAATCTTAAGGTGTTAATCACCTGTGTGGAACATTTGCTACAAATAGAACATTGAGCGATGGGAATCAGGAAGATTTAAAAAGACAGAAAACATAATCCACAAATGAGACACTAGTCAGCAAGAAACAATACGCATAAGCTGGAAAGACAAGCAGTATTCAGCACATGGTTAGTAAGCACCTCTGTGAGTTAGGCATCGTGGTAGGAGATGGGAAGACAAAGTGATTTGGCTACATCTGTCAGTCTAGTAGGAGATGACGTTGGTATGAGCTTCCGTAGAGTTGAATGCTAAATGAAAATTTTAGGGTGAAACTGAGAGTGATCAGTCCTGCCAACTACTCTAAACTTTATATAAAATCCCTTACATTTTTTATAATATATATAAATATATATGCTTTTCATTTTCCCCTGATAGGTAATATACCATCACCACCTCTGCCTTTGGGAAGTCTTACTCATTTAAGATTGGCAACAGATATTGCTCCTTTGTGAGGTCTTTCCTGACACCTTTAGACCAAGTCAGGCAACACATCCTGTGCTCTGGTAGCTGGCTGACATGTGTGCTAGTGTGTATGTGGCTAAATAGTTAATTGTATGTATTATGTAAATTGAATATTGCAGGATAGTTAACAATTTACATGTCTTTTTATCTCTGCTAAATTTGTTTCCCCTGAGAAATGATCATGCTTATTTTTTATTCTGCATAATGAAATAGTCTGCAAAATGTAGGAATTTGGTTATATTGGATAAATAAAAGAAAATATTTTTTGGACTTATTAGGAATTTCAGGAGCTCCTACACTATCGAGATAACTCAGACAAAACCCTTGAAGCAAATGAAATGTTGCTTGAAAAACTTCGGCAGCGAATACAAGATAGGGCTGTTGCTCTAGAGGTATGCAGCCTAATTTTGTTCCCTGTGCTGTGGATTATTCTCTGTACATTGATATTGTTAAAATTTGTGTCTGCTTAATTTCTGCTTTGGGGTTTTGGTTTCCTGTTTCTTCACATTTTGAATTTTATTGAACAGGGGTGATAAGGATGATGAGTCTTTTAAAGTTTAGGCCCCTTCTTTTCCTTACAGCAGGCTATAGATGAAAAGTTCTATGCTCTGGAAGAAAAAGACAAAGAGCTGCGCCAGCTTCATCTTGCTGTGCGAGAGCGAGATCATGACTTAGAGAGACTGCGTGGTGTCCTCTCCTCCAACGAAGCTACCATGCAGGTAAGAGCAAAATCTGCCATACATTGGTACTCCTCTTTACGTCTGTTCTAAGCTTGAAGCATCAGCCTCCTCCATCATTTTAAGAAAACTGGAGTATTTTCTTCTATAAGAAAAAAATACAAATAAAAGATAGTACTCGAGTTCCATTATTGTAGATTTGAAAGTGAGAAATTTTACCACTTCTGTTTTCTTTTATATTATGAGTTTCGTAGGGAGGAACAATAAATATGGATTTCTAATTACAGTTTTAGTTTATTGCTAATCCTTTTGTATAGATACACACCCACTCATACACCTTTTTACATAAGCATTGCCTGAGAGCAACTATTGTGTTTTTCTCATTAATATTATATTCATGTCCTTGTATTGTGACGATTAGAATACTTATTTATTTTTATACTTACTGTAGATTTTTCTTTTGCATAGTTACTGTAGACTTATGTAACTAATCACCTGCCAGTTTTAAAGAAGTCATTTGCGTTCTCTATAGAGGAAGTGATTCTTCCCCAATGTGTCATTTTATCCTTTACCCTATATTTTATCATTTTACCCTATATTTCTCTCTCCACAAACTAGATAGAAGTTTCTATAAATACAAAATAGATTGGTATGGTAGATTAGATGCTAAATTTTTGCTTCTTGCAAAAAAGTTGGTGGGTGATAATTTCTACATGTATGTGTGATCGCCTGTGTACCCTGAGGAATGTGGGTACCGCTGTGACTGTGGTTGCTGTCTCTGTGACTGTAGAGTATGGAGAGCCTCCTGAGGGCCAAGGGCCTGGAAGTGGAACAGTTAACTGCTACCTGTCAAAACCTCCAGTGGCTGAAAGAAGAAATGGAAACCAGATTTAGCCATTGGCAGAAGGAACAAGAGAGTATTATTCAGCAGTTACAGACATCTCTGCATGACAGGAACAAAGAAGTGGAGGCAAGACTTCAGTTAATTTAAATACAGTTGGCTTAGTGATTTCATAATCTTGAACTAGGACTCTTGAGGTCTGAGAGGCCCGTGACCCAAATCTTTAAAAACATTGTGTACTTGGAGAAGTGACTGATTTTCACTGGGACTTGCCCACCCCATAAACTTGAGATGACAATTATCATTCTGAAAGAAGTTATGTGAGAGATGATTAGATCTAAAAAAATATATCTACAATGTGATTACTAACCTTTGTTATTTATAGTACTTACAATGGTTCAGGCACTGTTTTAAGAGCTTAATGGATATTAACTTACAGAGTCCTCACAAGTCTTACAGACAAGGAAACAGACCTCTGAAATTAATTTGTGTCAGGTAACAGCTAAGTAAGTGGCAAAGCCAGTATTCAGCCCAGGCCTTATGGCGCCTGAGTTTCAACTACCATGTACTAGTGCTTACTGTAAAAATAGTAATAGTTTTAGTTTAGTGATAGTAATAGTTTTTCCTTTTGAGCTTATTTTGTATCCTGGTAGAAATTAAAGCGGGAGAAAATAAATGAAATAAGTGAGCTGAACATCCATTTGTTCTCATCTAACATTGTTATATGCTCTGAGCAAATGAGAAAAGGACTTATTTTAGAGAGCAATATGTAAATTTCTATATTGTTAGTGATCACTTACTAAACACATATTTCCTGGCTTCTGCATCACAGGCCAGTGCTAGATGTGGGGAAGCAAACATGAATGCCACATGATGTTATTCTCAAGAACTTCACAGCTTTTCCTTTTATGGCAGATCCTCACAAGCCCTTTGATATGTACTAGAGGAAATTCTTTTTTCCAGAAACTTACATTACCCTCTCTGCATTAGGATCTTAGTGCAACGCTGCTCTGCAAACTTGGACCAGGGCAGAGCGAGATAGCTGAGGAGCTGTGCCAGCGTCTGCAGCAAAAGGAAAGGATGCTGCAGGACCTTCTTAGTGATCGGAACAAGCACGCTGTGGAACACGAAATGGAAATCCAGAACCTGCTTCAGTCTGTGAGCACCAGGGAGCAGGAGAGCCAAGTAAGAACTAAGCCCACCTCAGAAAACTGTCACTCGTGTCCTGTGTATGTCATCTTATAGTCAACTCTGGAGTTCTTTCCTTCTGTTTATTAACTGGGCTCTAGGTTTGTTATGTCTGATATGTAAGGTTTTTTGAGCACTGTTTGGAAGGCTGCTCAAATCATAAATGTATCATTCATTGTGTGCATTTTCTTTTTCTTAATGCTTCGATTATTTTAAAAGAAAATGTTTTGGAGTTCTAGAGTTGTTTTACTTTTGCTTCTAAATTACCAAGACTAGAGTAATAGTTTATGTTTAGAGCCAAGATAAGGGAAAACTACACTCAACATATATTCTCATTTCTTGTAAAGTCGAAATTATCTTAAGAGGCATAAAAGATCATGTTTTTCAGAGGCCATGATGGGAATGAATAATCTTGCACTATTACAAGATAGATACATTAATGCCAAAACTGGTACATATTTCAGAAGGAAATTCTTGTTTTTTCTTCATTTTCATGTATTTTCCCCCCTCAAGGGCAAAGGACGCTAGTTGTACTGCATTTCAGGGGTCTGTGACCAGCTCTGAATCTCCATAGTCCGTTTTAGAGGAAGCTGAACTCTTACTTGCCTGTGTTGTTTGGCCATAATATTTACTATGTCTCCCTATGTTACGGATGGTTATATTCCACTCTTCTGATGTCCTGGCCCACTGAAGTTATACACGTTTTCTTAGGAACATCCTGCCATGTGCTTCAGAAATTGCTTCTAGAGTAAACCAAACGCAATTGTTGTGAATCATTTATGTCTTTGGCAAGAGGCTGACAAGGCTTTGAGTTTTCATTTGAATTGCTCTGATTTGAAAGAATCATCTTTATTTTACATGCTGCCTGAATAGCAGCACGTAGACTTCTGAGCTCATTCCTGGAGGGAGAGATGAGGACCCGAGAATCTGTGTTTCTAATAAGCTTGCAGGGGATATGGTGCTGCTTACAGACCACGCTTAGAAGAGCAAGGCTGAAAGCAGCGCTACCAGAAAAAGTATATCAGTCATGCCAGGTAGATGGCAGTGTGTACTTCGTTATTACAGGTTTTCCCATAATTTGCATAGGTGCTTCTACTAATAAACGTTAATAATATGCTGATTCCTCTAAAACTATTATGTTCAAATCTCCAGAGCCCAAATTTTGTTTATTGAAATGGCATTTTTTTTTCTCTTAGAAATTAGAAGACCTCGGCTTTTCATTAAAAAATACTACTTCTCGCATGAGTCTGTTGTGCTATGATATAGTTGATATAGTTCCAGTTCATGATTTTATATCTCCAATAATTTTAGCACTGATTTTTCTCCAGATGTTCTTATTAAAATGCACAATTTCTATGCATTAATAATAATCACAAATAGTGCCCTCTTGTGCCATCGTCTGTCTTAGAAAATGGTGGGATTTGAAATGGAACAAATTGCCCTAAGTGATTTTGAAGTTCAGATTTCCCTGTCCGTGTGCTCTAATAAGGGTGACTCATTCAGTAAATATATATCAAGTGCCCACTATGTGCCAGGTACAGGAGAGAAATACAGGGAGAGAGGGAATTATTAGATTCCCCAAATTGACTAATCTTATATGTAAACATTTGTGCCTTTCGGCCCCTGAGTTTGCTCTTTTCGATAGGATATACAAGGAAGGCCAATCTGATGAGGTCGCTTGAAGGTAGCAGACCATAAAAAAGTTTGGGTGAAGAGCAATCCAGGCCAAAGAAAAGCTAAACAAAGACACTTGTTTCTCAGTTTAAACCAAGAGTCTTCACTCCTTCATCTAATTCCATTCTAGCAGTTAACTGTTTCAGATTCTTTTATTTGCAATAGACGTCTTACAGTTTTTTTCCTTGTTCCACCTGTGAGAAACTTTCTTGCCACTCACTTGCCTATGTTTTTCTTTTTAAACTGAAAGCAAGGAAACTATTTCTTAGGGTCCTAGTGACTTTTTATAAGTGGTCATTTTACTGCAGTGTCTCCCTGAAGTTATTTGTGATTTCTTCTTACTAGGCTGCTTCAGAGAAGATAGTGCAAGCCCTAATGGAAAGAAACTCAGAATTACAGGCCCTGCGCCAGTATCTCGGAGGGAAAGACTTCATGATGGCTCAAGCACTTATCTCTAACCAACAAGCTGAAGTTACCTCCATCGGTCCTCTTTTTGGAGAGCAGACTGACCAAGTAAGAAGTATTGACTCGTAATTTTTCATGTTGACTGCATTTCCTTACATTTCAGTTTCATATAAGTTTAATAACTTTAATACAAATTATATGAGAATATTCCAAGTCCTGCCATTATACTGATAGTTCCACATCTTCCTAAATCCTCCATTTCTTCCAATTTTTAGGGTTCAATGCAAATACCCTCTAGAGATGATAGCACTTCATTGACTGCTAAAGAGGATGCCAGCATACCCAGGTCCACATTAGGTAAGTATCAAATTTTGTTTCATGAAGAGACCCTTTTTTTCCCTTTCTTATCTCTCTGTATTAATAGGCTGGCTGGTGTAAAAATAGGTTTGGGTTCCCCTGAAAGGCTGGAAATATGTCATTTCTAAGAATTGCCCTTACCTTGTGTTGATTAATGTTTATTGCTTCAGGTTCCAAAGTTAGTGCAGAAAAACTGCATCCTAATTCCCCCTTCCAAACAGCTTTTCCAGGACTCAGAAGTGGCAGATGTCCTTCCAAGCCTGCATAGCAGGACCTGTAAGAACTGACACCTCTGGGATATATTTCAAGGCTACGGATGGCCCTTGTAACTTGACATCACTTATATTCAAGTGCTGGGAGGCACAAGAAGTATACATTGAACTATTTGCCATGCTTGGCCTAATCTAAGTGATGGTTGCATTCTACCATCATCACTGGGACTTGAACTCCCTAATGAGAACCAAATTCTATGTATGGTGGGAACATAACTGCAAGGATACCTTGGAGTGCAGTCTCTGAGCCAAAGATTGGTGTTTAGGATAGCCTTGAGGATTTTACTTTTCAGGGAGTTTTGCAAGTAGGGACTCAAGATGATTAATAAGGTGGTGATTACAGTGCTAAGAAAGATTACAGACTTAGAAAACTATGGGGTTTTTTGGGGGTTGATTTAGCAGTACAGATAGTTTGTATATATTATAGTATAGTGTAATGGAATTTGAAAAAAATCTCACAAATTGTCATTGTGTAGTTGGAAAACATGGTAGTTAATGAAAGAATAGAAGATGTTAACTTTGTTTAACTTACTTTATGTTTGTCTTTTTAAAATAGCACAGTTTTCTCCAGTTTTTTATTTTGGAAGTTTTTAAACTACAAAAAAGTAGCAAAAACAACACTGGATATCCATATGCATTTTTAAGTTTCATCGGTTATTAATATTTTGCCATGTGAATTATTTCTTCACACACACCCACACACACACATTTTTTTTCTAAACCACTGGAGTATTTCTTACAGACACTATGACATTGCATCCTTAAATACTTCAGTTAATATTTCCTAAGGACAAGCTCCTTCTCCTACCCATCTATGATATACTTGTCACCCTCAGGAAATTTGGCCTTTATATTGTCTTAGTATCTAACATGCAGTCCATATTCAGAGTTCCTCTTCTTTCAATAATGTGCTCTGTAGTGGTGCTCTTGTCTCTACCACTGAAACCGCCCACCCCAGGAATCATACATTTTGCTACAGTGTCCTGCCTCTGTAGTCTTCTTTGATCTAGAACAATTTTATAATCTTTTTCTGTGTTTTGCAAAATTGGGATTTCTTTTTTTTAAGAATTCAGGTTAATAATGTTCTTCAGTTTGGCTCTGATTGTCTTCTCATCATTAGGTTCAAATTAAGCATTTTTGGCAAGAACACTGTATGAGTGATGTCTTTCTCAGAGTACCATATCAGTGCATAATAATCAATTTGTATCATCCTTGGCCATGTGAAGCCTGGGGTTACGCAGTGTCTCTAAGATCTCTCCACTGTAAAGGTTTACTTTCCCCTTTATAATTAATAAGTGATCTACGAGCTGATATCTTGAGATATTGACAGTTGTGTTTCCCAACAGTTAGTAGCTTTAGCACCCTGTGACCTTGCCAAAACCAACTCTTACACTGGCGGTTTAAAAAATAATTTTTGTATTTCTGAAATTTCTTCTCTATTTATTATTAGATATGACTTATAAAGATCTTTTTCCAATCTCCCCAACCTCTATTTGTTAGTTTCGGTATAGATCATGTCTTAGGAAAATCATTGTAGTATCTATTTGTTACTGTTCCATTTGATGCCCAAATTAGCCCAGATTTGGCCAGTAAGAATTTCTTCAAAATCTTCCTCTATCCTTTTTCTGTTTCCCCATCAGTTTTTGAGAACTCCCATAGTTTTGACACAATAAAGTGCTGTAATCATCTTTTATTTCTCCATGTCAGCTCTGCAGACATTCATGAAGAAGCTCCTTGGTTCTCTTAATGAGTGATAGCATTTTGAACTAAGATTCAGGTGCAAGGTGTGTTATATGGATGCCATTTGCTTCTAGACTCTTTTAAGTGAGCAGAGCTAGCAGTGAATTTTTTAAAAAGTGTGTGTGTGTGTGTGTGTGTGTGTGTGTCAGAGAGAGACAGAGAGAGAGAATATAGTTCCTGCCAGTTTAACAATATGGATTCTTTTTTTCTCATTGTGTAGTTGTAGTTTCTTTCTCCTAACACTGAGAGCCCTGGTTACCTATAACATCGATATATTTCAAAACATTTATGCATTTGCACAATATGTAAAAATACTTTCAGAATTACTACATGAATGACACGATCAACAATAAATCAGCTAAGTGAAATATTTCAGATTTCTTTGTAATTCTTTCTATTCTCAGGATATTTACTCCTAAGAGTATATAGTTGAGTATAAGTTCAAAAATTATTTGGGTTATCTATTTCATTATAGCAAATACTACCTACCTACTATACAGTTTCATTATTTGTCAGTATTCACCTTTGTTAAACTAACTTATACATTAAAAATTAAACAGTAACACAGTTTCAAAAATCAAATATATAGAATGGTGTACTTAGAAATCCTAGCTACTTTGCCACCTTTTTCTTCTGTTTATATTTTCTTTCGGGAGGTAACCAGCTTCACTTCTGGTTATCCTCCTTGTGTATTTTATAAGCAGATGAATCATATGTGTATGTGTATGTTTCCCCCCTTTTCACAATAAATTATTCTTTTGAACTTAGCTTTTTTTACTTAAATGTATCTTCCGATCACTCCATATAAGTTCATAAACACCTTCCTCATTTTTTATAGCTATAGAGTAGTCCATTGGTGAACATACTATAGTTGATTTCACCTTTTCTTGGTAGCATGTAAATTGATTGATGTATTTTGCTTATATAAATAATGCTACAAAAAAAGTACATATGTGTATTTTTTAACTACTGGGACATGTTCTCAGAGTAAATTTTTCAGAAATAGAGTAGCAGAGATCACATCACCATGCTTGTAGTGATTAAATCAAGCACTACATGTTCATTTCAGGAGACTTGGACACAGTCGCAGGGCTGGAGAAAGAACTGAGCAGTGCCAAAGAGGAACTTGAACTCATGACTAAAAAAGAAAGAGAAAGTCAGGTGAGTTTTCTAGTCAAGAATAATTTCTAAATCCTATTTTTCCTTTCCAAATAGTCTGTACTTATATTCTTCAAGTATAATAATCTAAGTCCAAATGCAAGATATGCCTTTTTTATCTTTGGAGAAACATATAAATCATAATATATACATATATATTTCTCAATAAGACGCTCTTATTTTTATAAATAGGAACAATTAAAGCTTTTTAAGTACTGTAAAAAGTTTTGTCTACCTATTATTAACTGGAATAGCAATTTTAAAGCATTTACATAAAAAAGGAAGTGCTTGTAATTGCTACTTAGAATTATAATGGACCCATGAAATTAGAATTCAGAAATAAGTAAGAAATTTTGTGTAACAGTGGTTATTTTCTGTGTGCTCATGGTGTGCAGTACATCGTGCTAGGTTCTTAGACTGGTGCCCATGTCCACATGCCACACAAAATACATCAGCATTGGCTCCATTTTATAGATGCAAGCACGAAACACTCATTTCATTAATTTGGGGTGGGAATTAGTCATGTAACTAATAAATGCTAAAGCCGAGAGTTAAATGCAAGTCTTTTGTGGCTCCACCTATGTCCTAAAAAGTCATTTCCTGGAGCACATATTTTTCCCATTTTATGCCTTAACTTTTTCTATCAATAGAATTTCCTAAGTTTTCTTAGAAGAGAATCCCTTCCCCTGTCTTCCCTGTACAGCCGGCTCTGTGTCCAGCTGTGACAGAGAAGACATTTCAGGGCTACAGCACAGAGTTAAAGAGTAAAATTAAAAACTCACTCTGGGCCTAGGATTTAGCTCAGGGGTGCCGCCGCCTGCCTCACAAGCGCAAGGTTCCTAGTTCGATCTCTGGTACCCCAAAAATTAAAAACTCACATGTGCTATGGCGTCTTATTTTAGACAGTCAGTCTGCTGTCACAGATTCCTAACTTAATTTTAGCTGGCTCAGTTCCTCAGTTTTTTCTACCCTTTTATATTGATCTGTAATATAAAATCTGTGTTCTTATTTGTGATGGAATTATCTTACTGTACCTCCTGATTTTACAATCCCTTACAAACAGACTTTTATTATGTTACTCATTATGAGCATGTGTGGTGTTTCAAAAATGCTGATTTTAAAATCCTCTAGTTCCTCTCCCCTTTTTTGGTTGTACTTTATCATTTAGCTGGTTACATATGTCAAATATTTTAGTTTCTAAAATGTTTTTCTTATATGCCAAATCCTGAGTAATGTTACTTTTTGGTTCTGTCCTCTATGTTCAGGATCATAAAACTGTAATGTCTATGAATAGATATTTTTAAATGAATGATATTTAGCTATTGCTATGTTATCTTTCAACTGCCCACTTCTAAGTTCAATGCCATATAAATTATCACATCCCCTAATATTGGGTAACTGTGGAAAACTGTGCAGATTTTCCTATATTTTAAACATTCCTCCTATTTCCTTATGATAGAACTAGAATTAGTTCTCATTCATTGATTCCCTGCTGTGTGCCTAGCCCCCAAATGTAAAAATTATTCCCATTTTATAGTTGAAGAAACCAAATCTGTTTGTTTGGTTGGTTTTGGTTTTTTGAGACATGAGTCTCGCTATGTAGTTCACACCTGCCTTGAACTCACTGTGTAGCCCAGGCTGCCCTTGAACTCATGATGATCCTCTTGCCTTAGCCTCCCGAGTGCCAGGATTACAAGAATGCAGCACCATGCCCAGCCCAAGTCTCAGTTTAAATACCGTGTTGAGTTTATGCAAAGATTTCAAACCTATGTTAGTTGGACTGTAGAACTTTATAGTGCTGCAAAAATGTTTTCTTCCTCGTATTTTATTTTCTTTAGTAGAGCAAATACTCGGGTATGTAATCATAAAGGTGCCTCAAGAGGAACTAATAAATAGCACTTCTTTTTCCATAGTTAAGCTCTGAACAAATTGATAAATGTGATACATCAGTGGCAGAAAATCTGATACAATATTAGCTTCATTACTGATAAAGTCTTAGGTAGAAAACTTAATGCAAGAGCAAAGTGGGCCTCCGAGCCAATCTTCAGAATTTAGGAGATGAACCTACCCAGGTAGCCCTGGAAGGGAACTACACAGTAGGGAACGGCCTGCCCTTTTAGAAGCAATGGTGAAAAACAGGCTTCCTATCTATAGGCAACCGCTCCCCGAGAGAGGAAGAGTAGAATTAGGTCAAGTGTGCCCAGTTTATTCTTCCACTGTGTACCATAAAAACGAGCCCCTCTGGCTCACTAGGGCTCTGTGATTAAAAGGCTAGAGAAAGGTCAGAGGTTCCAGTGACTGAGCTCCTTCAGCATGGAAGGAAAGGTAGAAGTTGCCCAACTGATTAAATAATTATGTAAATTATCATAAGCACACATAAGATATTATAAGCATTGAAGTAATTAGAAGATATGAAAATAAAATTTTTATTGCTTGTAATTTAAATTTTATGTGTTTAAGAAAAAGAGATATTAAGACTACAAGAGCAAGAAGCAATTTAAATATGTTCAGGGACCATTTTCATCTTCAGAATTAAGGATTATTTTAACCTTATATCATTGCCTTTTCTCTTTTACTTTCCTTTTTAGTTTTATTTTAGGATTCCCTATTTTTAATGTTCATACAGAGATTTCTTTAACTGAAATACCGAATAGTTTCTCTGGTGTGAAAAACTATAATAGTACACAGGATCCTAATGAGACAATTAATAATGTGAAATAGGAAGTAAAGGGCTAAAGGTGTAGGGAAAGTGGGAAGGGTGGGGGAAAGGTAATAAGGGAGAGGAAAAAATATGAGAAATTGAAAAAATGGAAATAAAGTGTTTGTAAATGGGGAGGGGAGGAGGGGTGAAGGGAGGGCAGAGACAAGGGGAAAAAATGAGAATCAAGACCTATCATGTAAAGCTACAGGATCCCAATAATGAATGTAACTGTATTGTATACCTAGATTGTACCAATAAACTCAATAAAAAGAAGAAAAAAACACCAAAAATAAAAAAAGAAAAGAAAAAGAGATATTGCTTCTGTTCCGAAGATTGGTTGTGCCTTAAGTTAGCTTGTATCCCATCTGTCTTTCCCCACCCCACGTAGCATTTTAAATTTTTCTTAAAATTGTTCTTAAAGTCATTCTTTAAAATGTTTATACTTAAAATAACTTGCTATTACCATGAAGACAGTATGGATGTTCTTTCAGGAAAAGTCATTAGGCCTAGTGGCATAGTCTGCTTCCCTGAGGTCACACGCGGGATCTAATGCTTACTCATTCTGTGAATTTAAACCAGTTCGTTATTTCCTGCCTGCATTCACCATCTTCTCTGTAAATTGAGACACAGAAGAAGAAATCGCCGTATCTGTAAATTGAAGAGTAGTTACCCATGGGATTGTTGTTCATTCATCAGGTATATAGGCACCCTCTCTAAGCAAGGGCTAGCGCTGGGGATAAGGTAGTGAACAAAATCAATAAGCTCCCTCTCTGAGTTTATGTAAGTAATTTCATACACAGTATTATAATAACAGATTGTAATAAATGATGTGAGAAAGTAACATGGACAGGGACCACTTTAGATACAATGGGCAAAAAAGGCTTCTCCCTGAGTGCATGATGTAAGCTGGCACCCAAGAATGAAGAATAGGCAGCCCTTGGCAAGATATTCCAGGCCGGAGGAGTCATATGTATAAAGACCCTGAGTAGAAACAAATTCTAGTGTTTCGAGAAGAGTAGTCTGGTGTGCCTGGAGGGTCTTGAATAAGGAGTAAAGCAGCAGATACTGACGTGTGAGAAGTGGTAGGAGCCAGATCATTAGGTTTATAAAAAGGACTAAATATAAGGAATACATTTATTATGTGCCTGGGAAATGGTAAACACCCGGTGTTTGGAGGTACGGTTCTTATGCTTTTTGGTGAACTTTGTCATAATCAGTATATTTCATTTTCTGGTGAGAAGGGAAGATCCAACTCTGAAAGTGTAATTTTTGGCAAGACTTCTTCATAGATGGCGATGTGCTCCTTATTAGGAGGCATGTTATGTTTGGAGATCTGACAATGAAAGCAGTCACGGTTGCTTGATGGCTTTTTAATTCACTATGAGTTGCAAAAAGGAGGCATTTAATTCTTTCATGTTTTCCTCTATTAGACAAAATGTTTACATAAAGAAAAACTTTGTTTCCTGATGACAGATTTTTATATATCATAACAAGCTCATTAATCAAACAAATATGATGTTTTTATTTTGCTGACTAAAGTGGAGAATATCATTAAAAACATCTTTCAGAGCTTCTCATAAAGTACCCTTTGGTACCACACTGCCTGGTTTTATCAATTTGATCTAGCAGTGCGCCATTCATACTCTGGTTTTCTCTTGTATTACTGGTTGCTGGTGATGTGACGTTAAGTTATAAACGTGACAGGTATCATTCCCTCTGTCCACTGACTCCGCGATTTCCTCCCTTCCCAGATGGAACTTTCTGCTCTCCAGTCCATGATAGCTGTGCAAGAGGAAGAGCTGCAGGTGCAAGCTGCGGATCTGGAGTCCCTGACCAGGAACATACAGATCAAAGAAGACCTTATAAAGGTCTTTCAGAGCTTTTTAAAGACCCCTGGACATTACTGTAAAATATGGATCTATTGAGCCCTTTGGCCAGTGCTGGTTAATATCCCACTTTGAAGTATAGTGGGCTCTTTCAAGAGCATTTGTTCCCTTCTCTCCCGGTAGTGTTTTTATTGCTATTTTTATGTCTGTACTTATTTGTGACATCTAGGACCTGCAGATGCAGCTAGTTGATCCTGAAGACATTCCAGCTATGGAACGCTTGACCCAGGAAGTCTTAGTTCTTCGGGAAAAAGTTGCATCAGTAGAATCCCAGGATCAAGAAATTTCAGGAAACCGAAGACAACAAGTAAGTTATTACAATGCAAACTTTTTTAAAAAATTTGGAATAAACAATGGAATATCTGTCAAGTAGGCTGTTAACTGCTTATGAAAAAGTCAGGTGATTCTATTTCATTGAGAACCCATGCTCTACAGTTTCCTCCCTTGGTCAGCAGCAACCAGTTACCGCTTTCTGACATTTGTAGTTCAGAAATGAACAGCAGGAATCCCTCACTCTCCTATATAAGTCACCTCCTGCTCACAGAGTCCTCAACTACCTTCATTTAGCCATGTTGAGATCCATCTGAATTTAAAAAAAAAAAAAGAAAAGAAAAAACAAAACTTGTCTCTAACCCAAGTTCGCTTTGTTTTTTTGTTTTGTTTCTTTGTTTTGTTTTGTTTTGTTTGGTACCGGGGATTGAATTCAGGTCCTTGCGCTTGCAAGGCAGGCCACCGAACCGCTGAGCTAAATCCCTGGCCCTCATTTTTTTTTTTTTCCAAGTTCGCTTTGTAGCCACTACCCCATATCTGACCTTTTCAGTGTTAGACTTTTCAAAAAGATTTACTTGTGTAGGGCCAGGGATTTAGCTCAGTTGTTCCACCGCTGCCGCCACCTACTTTGAAAGCACAAGGTCCCGAGTTCCATCACCAGTACCAAAAAAAAAAAAAAAAAAGATTTATTTGCCTATACTCCCTGTCTACATTATTATCTCTCTCACTACTCATCTCACTCAATCTCACTTTTAACTTTATCTTAAACATTTCCCTCTCTGCCAGCTGTACATTATCATAGATAATTACCTGGATGGCACATACTGTGGCTCACAGTGACACATGGTGACACCCTCAACAGTAAGCTTTTTCCTAGAACTGAACAGAGCCTATCACATAGAAAATGCGTAATAGATATTTATTGAATAAATAAACATTAAAAACTAGGAAGTCTTATTTTATGTTTCCCTTTTACCCATACTTTCTTGCACTCTGTTTTCCTAGCGTCCTTCCTATACTTTTGGTTTCTTTCTCCCTTTTTTGTCCTTGCTCCTATGTGTGAATTTGGCTTTGGAAATTTAAAAAAATATAAAGCGATAAGGGACACAGATTTGAGAACTGTAAATTCCTACAGAAAGCTTACATAATAAGATAGTGAGATTGTTTTCGTCCTACTGTGTATTAATACATTCTTTTTTGTCTCTTTCTCAGGACTGATTGTGGCTTTCTGTCTCTCCTTGCCACTTGCATGTTGCTTCTTTCTTTCCATAGTTGCTGCTGATGCTAGAAGGACTCACAGATGAACGCAGTCGACTCAATGAGGCCTTACAAGCTGAGAGGCAGCTCTACAACAGTCTGGTGAAGTTCCATGCCCATCCAGAGAGGTAAGAGAGTGACTTTTCCCTTTTTAAAACATGTTGTATTCCTTTTATTCTTTTTCTTCTTATTTCTTCTATTTATTAAGAACAAGTATTTATAATACCAAAAAGGAGAGAAAGAAAACCATTCAGTTTGTAATGTTTGGATGGACTGCTCTGAGCTACGGTGTCTAAATTGTAAGTGACAGACAGTGTACATTTTGCAGAGCTTTTGCAAAGATTGAGAAGACAAGTTAGGGACTTAAAACAATTCCTTGAATTTAATAACCACTCAGCGTATGTTTCTTTCTTTTTCTGCTCTGTATCCTGTTAAAGCCTGTTCTATTATAAATGTAAGCTACAAGGGATGCTGGTACTCACTTAATACCATTGCATAACATTGAAGAAAACATCCTCATTGTGATGGCCTGTATCACCCCAGACTCCCTGATAATCATCATTATGAGTGTGTTTTTATGCTTCTTAAACTTTGGCCATGAATATCATATCTTTCTGATTAATTTTGTATTTCCTTCTTTTTATTTTTCTCATTTTGCCTTCCCTCCTAGCCCTTTTTTCTCTTTTACCATTTTTATTCTTTTATTATTGACTTTCTTCTGATTTCCTGTTGGGTTTTTTAAATGTTTTCTTTTTACTTCAGGAAAATGAAAGCAGAGGAAATATATGATAGGATCACTTGCTTGTGTTACCTTTTAAAGAACTTCAAGGAGCCAGGGAGTTAGCTTAGCGGTTCGGTGGCCTGCCTTGCAAGCGCAAGGACCTGAGTTCAATCCTTGATACCAAAACATAAATAAATAAAGAGCTTCTGGTCTGTAGTCTTTGTGAGCTGGCTTCTTTTTCAGAGCACTGTCACATTTGGTTACAAATGAGAAAGCATTTGTCCTCAAAAGCAGACCTACTTGGCCCAGTCTTGCCTCATTTTACATTGCATTTTTCACAAACTAAAGCTTTCAAATAATGAAATTTCTCTTATGTGGGCTATAGGAATATGAGATCAATCCTAGGAACTGTAATTTTATGTGGGATTGGTCCAGGATCTCACCAAAAAGCAATTGTAAAGAAAGGAGCAGGTTTGCTAATCTACCAACAATGAACACAAATGCCTCAACGCAAGACTACATTCATGTATGTATTCTGGAGAACAGGCACTTAGTCTCATGTCCTGGAGTGGCACTGATGGCTCTTTGGAGTGTGAGGACTCATTACAGTTGACAGCTAATCCATTTTCCTTCCATGTGACATGTTTAATCAGCTCTGAGAGAGACCGAACTCTGCAGCTGGAACTGGAAGGGGCCCAGGTGTTACGCACTCGGCTAGAAGAAGTTCTTGGAAGAAGCCTGGAGCGCTTAAGCAGGCTGGAGACCCTGGCCGCCATTGGAGGTGGGGAACTGGAAAGTGTGCGAGTTCGTCACAAGCATGCCTACTGAGCACTGGCTGGTCAGATTGCAGCCCAGGATGGAAAACCTTGTTTCACTAACCAGAGAGCCTGTCTGGCTTGGGAGAATTAAATGGTGATTTACTAATAATAGATCTGGGACAAGTAGCATCAACTGCAAAGTGAAACTCACTTTAACCTACTCGTGTCTCACTGTACATATCTATCATTCAATTAAATGATGGAGGTTACAAAGTGTATTTGCACATTTTAAATCATTCAATTTTAGTTTTTCCATTCATATTCATTCCTTTCCCTAGTCATTCCCTCTCATTCCCTCATCCCTTCTGTGGGCCAATAAAGTTTATTCCTCCCCCACTTTCACAAGCCATACGATATGTTCCATATCATTTCATAAATGCATGTGTGTGTATTATTTTTGCCATTCAATCAACGCCTGCTCTTTGAGAGCGGTTTTTAAAATCAAATAAAAGAATAAAATAAAAATTTCAAGATGAGAGAGAAAGACTACAAGAGAGTCTATAAGAATGACTTTGCAAAAGCAGTGTAATCTTTATCAGAAGATAATTAAAACCAGGAGACTAGTCATAGGCCACCTTACAGAGTAGAGGCAAAGACTAATGTATTTCTAGTAAACTTTTACCTCCAATATTGTTTCCGAGTTGGCAGTTGAATGACCAGGTAAAATTAGGCTGGTGCATATTAAGTTCTATTTAAATTTTTTTTAAATCCCTTCAGGTTTCCTTAAGCCAGGGCATTCTGTTTACTCAGAAAATGACTTCAAGAATGGTCTTCTGGAGTCAGAATTTTCTGTGGAAATATAATTATTGACACCCCTTTGAAATCAGTACTTTACCACATAACTCATAATAGCCAGAGAAGAATTTTCTGTATTTCATGTAGTGGTAGTGGATTGAATGCTTTATTTTTCATTAGCTCGTGTGTGTACTCTTCTCCATATTAAAATAAGTATTGGGCTTTAGGCTGTAACTGCTTGAGTAATTTAGAATGAAATGCCACAAATCTATATGCATAGGTTTTAGTCATTGTCTCAGTGCCATCTTGTGGCAACATGACAGCTCTAAGGAATAGGGCTCTGGAGATTGTAATTCTGGGATCTTAAATGTCAAGAGTTTGAAAAGTTACCAACATTACCGTGGTTCCTAGAGTAGAAGCTGAGATTTCAGTTAGGTTAAACATGGAATTGAGGAATAAAGGTGCATACTTTCTAGCTGCCTAAGTATGACTGAGCACTCTTTCTAAGCTCAGTGGGTCACAGGGATTTTTATTTCTCTGTTTTGTTTTGTTTTTACATGACCCATTGTTTCTTTATCATTCTTTTGTTGACATTCCTTGCATTACATCCTAAATTCCATCCAAGGTTCTGCAACCTTAGCTGTGACGATAATAGAAATTAGTCAAAATAAAGTGACTGGAGAAAATGTTCTCCTGGAGAAACACCCTAGAATCTTCTGATTAAGTACAGTAATTTACAAAGATTGATAGCTATATGTTATGGATTTTAACAGCCTTTAGGGAAAAAAGGAGTAACTTAATGGGAAAGAGGTAGGAAATGTAAGCAGAACCATCTGCCTTTCATAGTCTGCCCATTTTAAGAGACCTTTGCCTGAACAAAACCTTAAGTAACTTTCCACAAGTGAGGAGGGTAAGGGAGGTGAGCTGTAGAAATGCCAGTCCGTTGAAGCCTAGTCTGTTCTGTTATTATAACAAGTCATTTAGGAACTACCTCCCCTAAATTATACTAGTAGACCAAGAAAACCTTCTGTAGCTGCTGTTTCGCCTGTGGGTGATTCTTGGACCCTAATAGTGAAGACAGTAATTTACGTTGCCAATGACTACTTCTGTTAACCTCCACCCACAGTAGATTGATGAAAGGATAAATTAAGAGTTTGAACGTAAGACCGTAAATGTGACTAAAACCTGGTGCTAACTTTCTGGCCTTCATAGCTGGAGTGAGACTTGAAAACGGTGCTACCTGGAGAGAGCTTACTGGTCTAACAAGTGTGTGCGATACTTTGACAACTAGTGATTAGAGTACACAATTTTAATTTCTAATTTCTAATTTTTGTCTATTACCCAAAGATAGATGATGTTGTGACTGGACACATGCATGTATCATATGTAGCTTGATATAATATGCTTCCATTTCTCTCTTCAAGAGCATAGAAGTTACAGGATTCTTCTACCTTTGTCAGGGATTTTCAGCATTATAATAATTGTAGATAAGGCATTATGTGCATATAGAAGCTTATGCTTGAATAAAAAAATCTTGAGAAAAAAATCAATGAAGTAGATTTTTACTTAGGCCGTGCTTAATTGGAAACAGAACTTAGATCCATACACATAGAATTTTATTTGTCTTACATTTCCTTTTGAATATGATAACATGTGGACTAATGGTTTTAAATCCTTTTTAGAACAGTAGAGTTGAACGGGACCTCTAAGAGGATTTATTTAATGGGTAAAATGGAAGTCCTTATGACATATTTTCCTTCTCTATTGCAGGTTTTTGGTTTTGTTCTTGTGGGGCTAGGAATTGAACCCAAAGCTGTGTGTGTGCTAGGCTACTGAGTTATACTCCCAGCCTTTCTACTAGAGGTTTAAATTACTAGTCTGAAGACTTTTAGAGTCTCGTATAAACTAACATTTGTCTGATCTCTTTTTAGCTAATTAGACGAGTTGTAACTTTTGGGGGAAGGCATGATTGGGCCATTTTAATATGACGCCCTGTGATAGGGTAGATTTTATTCCCCATTCTCCACCCTGCACGCCATTTCTCCTCATTCAATTGTAGAGAAGCAGTATTCTTAGGCAAAATACTCTTTTCCTCGTTCATGCTTTAAAAAGATGTTTCAATTACATTATATATAGTAAGAAAGCGATTAAGGATCAAGCAAAATTTTGACCTGTATACAATTCCAGCCAAAGAAGTAGTTTCTTTATAAGATTATTTAATATATTTTGTTTACACGGTTTATACATCAGTGACCTCTATGGCAGATGTGTCTAAAAGACTTAGCGCTTAAATGCTTATTTATCCTTCTAATTCGGTATCTAGGTTGTAAGAAGTTGGGTTTGTAGCTTTGAATATTGATTTCATTTCTCTCTACTTTAATCTTCAAGTTGGATCTGGAATCATCTGACTAGGGAAAGAAGCAGCAGATCACAGTAAAGGAAACGTTGTTCTTTTCTTCAAGAAGTGAAGATTGACTCACCTATGTGAAGTTATTTTCCTTTGGGCTGTAATTCTTAAAACAATTTTAATACTTTTGCCTTCCTTGAGAGCCAGTGTTAGAATACTCTAATGCCCACTGTTTGGATAGTCACTGTTTAGTTTCATGAGGGATTTTTTTTGGTATGGAAAAGTCACAGAACCTTCAAAGTTGTGTTTCCTGAAAAATCCAAGTTGCCTCCTCAACAAGAACCCCAGATAGTGTTAGGCAGGTCTGCAGCCAGCATCCTGCAGGGAAAATTAACAAACTTCTTGTAAGTTGGAAAAAATAGTAAGCCACACACAAATTTTCAACCACACACATTTCCATGTTGCCTTGAAGAAATTATGTATGGGAATAGAATAAATGAAATAGTTATCTTTTTCAGACATTAACATCCTGTGAGATACAAGCACATTTTTCTCATTTTTCTTAGATTGAAGCTCAGCATTTCTTTTTCTTTTGGTGGTATAGAGCCATTTGTACTCTAGCAAAGAAAGAAACATTTGGACATATGGAACTCATATATGGCAACCTAATATTAAAAAAATAAAAGGAGTGAGTCAATAGGTACTGAAGTGATCTCTGTAAGGCAAATAGTTCCTTAATTTTAATGCATTTTGGACTATGGATTTAACCACTCCCTCACCATTTGCAGCAATTGCTTCAATATATTTTATTATGATTGGAAAATAAACATGTTCCTTTTTTGTAGTATGAGTGTTAAAGAAGGTAAGTCCTCAACTTCTTTCTGTATAATCACATGAGCCAAGGTGAGTTTCCCAAATACAAAATTAGGCTCATAATTTGTCTACAAAGAGGATAGAAAATGGAAAAGAAACACAAAACCCGAAAACTGACAATACTAATTTTACCAGATTCCAAATAAGGAATTAACTGAAGTGATGTACTCATGATTTTTGTATTATTTTCATTTATTGCTGTTTAACGTCCCATTCCAGAAATAAACATTTTTATTGTTTCCTCTTGCAAAAGGATAAAATAAAAAGTTCAGGAACATTGGATGTTTGATCTAAATAATATGAAGAGTAGGACTGTTAAGTACACAGATCACGTTGGCTTCCTCACTCTAATTCAGAGAACTAATGGTATAGCGACTGCTTATAGATTTGCCTTTAATACATAATATGAGCATGCACCTGCTGCTCTTTACAGTTAATCTTCACTGAGATACCTCTCAATCTATAAACTTTAGAGGCATACATATATATGTGTGTATGTGTGTGTGTGTGTGTTGTGTATATGCTTTATAAATAATGAATGTCCATGTCCATGAAGTATTATTAGTTTAGTAACAAAAGCAGTTTTCTTATTTTTAATCACATAAAATTTTGTAGGCTGTTGTGAAAAATTAGTGATGCATAACAACTTCAGGTGAAGAGAGAAATGACGTGTTAAATAATCGGAAACAGCATTATATCATTTCTAGGACTTTCCTCACCAAATGAAGTGGTACATTTTTCTCTGGAAGTTTATTTCTTCGTGGCGCTGTGCTGTTAAACTGTGTTCATAATTGTGCTGAAATGTAGAATGTACTTTTTTATATATATTAGAATTTCAGCTACTTCAGTTGAGACACAAAAAATTGTTGCCCAATAAAAGTATCAAAGGCTGACAGAAATTATTTGGTTTTGTCCTTAAAAGATATATGAGAAAAAAAAGCAGAAAAGGCTCATATCTTTTTTCTTTTCCTTTATAGGAGAATCAGTTTATTGGTCATTGTACTAAAA